GCACTGAACGGCCGGTATGCCGAGCCGGGCTTCCAGAGATTGCTCTGGGAGGCGGTCGCCGCGGCCGGGGAGGACGAGAGCCGCCAGCGCCCGCGGTCGGCTGGCCCACACTGCAGGGCCTGGGCCCAAAGATTCGATGCCTCGAAAACATTGGAGCGGCCATTGTTTTGTCCCCTGCTGATTCCAGGGGCCCTCGAGGGGCCCCGGGACCGTCCAAAAACAATCCAGCGTGAGAACCGGCATCGAACAAAAAATTGAGCGCTGGATGTTTGGGGGATGGCGGTATGGAGCAGCACCGACCGTCAGTTCAGGCAGTGCCGAAGGGGAGTCACCACTATCGGGGGAGACAAGTTCCTCGAGGAAGTGACGTTTCCCCGAGGAGGTTTTTGAGCGTCTGGAGTCGTCTTGGAGGGCTCTGGAGAGTTCTGGGGGGGTCATTCACTTGAGGAAGTGACGACACCCCCCTTCGTGGTGACCTCCCTAGGCACTGCTAGGGTTACAGTCAAGAAGTTGGAATCCCCGGCGACGCTCCCCGAAGAGTCTTGAGCAGTTCCATCAGACATGCAGCCAACAAATTGTAACTTTGAGCACTGGCGAAGCGTCCTGATCTGCCTACGGGCCCACCACAACATGTTCCGATTGCCTCTTGTGGTTCGCACGACATGTTATTATAACATGCCTGGTTGCTACATTATTGTTCGAAGATATCGGCGCTATGTTACACGAGCATTGCGTTTGTTAGTCCAACAGATGTGCTATCATGTTCTAAGAACATGTCGACGGTAGGCCGAAAGGAAGGCCAGGAGGGTCGGCCCCTGCTCAAGAAATCCCCGGCAGCGCGCCCAGGGGTGATTCCGACTGTTTTGTTGCGCTTCGTGGTTTCCCAGCCTCTGTGGTGTTTTCCAGCGGCTGCGCCTCGCCGACAGCGTCCCGGGTCGTCCTCAACGGCCATCGAAGGCCCGAGGTTCGTTTTCGAACGAGACTGGCAGAGGGAGCAAACAACCGGGTTGGGGTGGTTGGGTCGCTGGCGGTTGCAACTGCTCCCTGGCTGCCAGAGGGCCCTCTTTTGGGAGGTTATTCTCTGGAGGTCCCTGGGGGGACCGCTGGGAGGCCAAAGCCGGCCTCCAGAAGCCCCCGAAACCGCGGTCGTCCGTGGTCCTCTTCGCAGGGCTCGAGCCAAGCGGTGCTTTGGCGACTTCGTGGATTGGTTTCGTGTTGACGTCGTTTTGCGGCGAAGGCGGAACGAACACGACACGCAACGGAAAACGCTCTAGCCTTGCTTCCCCGACCCCCGCCTGCGAATCCTCCGCTGGCTGCTCCCGGGCCCCGCAGCTGGCCCTGGAGGGTGGGCCAGCGACCACGGCGGCGGCAAGACGCCGCGCGCGAGCTGGCCAGGCGCCCCGGGGGCAACGCTACGCAGGGGGGGGAACGGCTCGGGGGAAGCTGAGGAGAGGAGGCAGGGAGGGAGAAGTCAGGATAGGAAGAGGAATGGCCACATGACGATGATGTCATGCCACGCCAAATTCAGGTTGATGACGGGCTGCCTCCTCGGCAGGGAGGGAGGGGAGGGAGGCCCCCGAGGGAGGCTCCGAAGGGCGGCTCCCGAAGGAGGCTTCTGATAGCGGAGGCTCCTCGGGGAGGCTCCCGAGGGCGGTCGCCAGGGATGCTCTTGCGGAATGCTCTTGCGGGAGGTTCCTGAGGCTCCCAAGGGATGCTCCTGAACCAGCCCCAAATCGCAGACTCATCGCCGACAGGGGCCGGATAGCCTGCCCCGCCCAGAAGCTTTCGGTTCTGCTATCGGGCATCGCCGATGTATCGGCGATACATCGCCGATGTCAGGTCGATGCTCCTCCCCCTGATCGGATGTTGCCAGGACAAAGTGTAAGGGGAGCCCGTTAGTGATTGGGCCCCGAAGCCTCCAAAATGAACCAGAATTGCTAAGCCAATTCTTGACGCTTCGCGTATCCCCACCAGGGGGGTGGCCGTTCGACATCCCAGAGAGCGGCCACCCCCCACGCGTCCCATGGGGACGGACAACGTGCAGCGGCAGCCAGAGTCGTCTCACACCTGGTGGGTGGTAGCCAGAAATATAAAGAAGACTGGGACCGCTACGCGGACAGCCTCTCCAACCAGAAGGGGCAGGGCCCCTCCCGACAGCCGCTCCACATCCTCACGACATTCCTAACCAGGCTAGAAGGCTCCGACTTGACCAGGGGAACCATCGACCACCTCGCCGCCCTGCCCCTGGAGCCGGCTGCTAGCAGCGCAGACCGAGTTGGATCACCAGTTGCGAGCTGGCTCAACAGGTCAAGCAAGAAGAAATCTCCCGAAGCAGATCGCCGAGTGAAGGCCCACGGAGCACCCCCGACCCGCACCGACGCGCCACCTCCTCAGCCCGCTGAGACCGACCGGTCCTCTGCAACCCAGGAGGATGAGCAAACCCCACAGGGACACTGCATAGGCGATGGCGACGTGGAAGGGGTCGACTGGGGTGAAAAGCGGGCAGGAAATCCGAGACTGGCGCCCACGCGCGATCTAGCCCGCAGGACATCTCCGTAGATTCCGGCTCACAGGTCAGCCCCACCCACCCTGACGACGACCTAAGCGATACACCTCCTCCCGTGGATGACAAGCTGACCCAGGACCCCCCACAGCTTTGGACAAAACCTTCCAACAGGACCGACGCGGAAGTCTGGTCCCCATACGAGCAGGCTGCCGCCAGGGGGACAGTCAGAGATAGGTACGCCCCAGGCGACCTTCGCAGCAGGGATGATCGGACCTGGAGCTTGAACGCCGCACGGGACAACAGGTTTCTAAGAGATACGGGTGGCGAAGGTGGCCGACAACCACCCGCGGTTGATGAAGCCAGGGCCAGAGAGCGCTCTGCCACCCCGCCCCCACGCGACTTCTCCCGACCAGCGCGCGCCACCCAGGGCTCCTGGACCGACACGCGGAGAACGCTACTGCCCGCAGCACACCCTGACGATCCCATGGGAGGTATCCCCATGTATATGTGTACAGTTGACAAAGCGGACGTCTCAAGGGACGAACCGGCACCAGACAAGATCTCACGGCTGCAGAAGACGCTGGGAGGTGCGTTTAACTGTGTCTGGGGTGCCTGGGTCAAGAGAGCAGCGGCCAGGCAAGGGAGCCACTACATCAAGTTTGATCCCAAGCTCCACTCCGCACAGCAGTGCAACGAATTCCTCCACGCATGGAGCAACGCGGATTGCGACGCCTATAAGATGGATAAAGAATACAAGCTCCATGTTGACTGGTCGAGTGTCCAGGAGAAGCACCGCGAACTCATGCAGCGCGACGCCAGACCGCACGCCCCCCGCGGGGCCGATAGCAGCGGCTGCCCACCCCCGTGGACCAGAGCGGACAAAGGGGCGGAACGAGCGGCCCCGCCGGACCAGTGGATCGGGGCATCCAGCTCAGGCCCGTCGCGGCATGGATGGCAGTCCTGGGGCGCCTGGAGGCCCCAAGGGGCGTCATGGACCGGCACGGACTGGAAGGCGAAGGGCAAGCGCTACTCCCCCAGAGGAGAGCACCCGCACGCTGACAAGCGCCCGCGAGGTTGGGACTCCCGACCCAGATGAAGGGGGCGCAGCAAGGACCCGCAAGGGTCTGCCTCCCACAGCGTCATAGGGCCGCAACGGTTACCGCCGCGGCCCACCAACCTACGCGCTGCCCGCCGCGCGCAGCACACAATGCCTTGCTCCTGACCGGTGCTCGCCGTAATCCCCCTCCTCAGACGGTTTCGCCCGCAGCGCGCGGCCTGTGCCGCAATGCCCGTGCCACCTCCTATGGGGCGGAGGTGCACCATTACCCTTGCGCTACGCTTTTAGACAGCCCACGCTGGACTCGTGGACCTTGTAGCACCCGGCCTCGGCCAGCACGCGCTACCCTCGCGGGGGCGGGAGACGCCGCCAACTGGTTCGCATAGATAGCCCACGCTGGAGACGTGGACCTTGCCAGGCCTTTCCATCCCCGCGGCCGATTGCTGCACGGGGCTGCGGCCGCTGCCTCCTTCGGCGGAGGCCGCCGCCAATTTGAGAGCGGGGGTCGCCCGTGCCCCCCCTCTAGGGCAGCCCACTTTGGACGGCAGTGACGGGTGGCTGAAATAACCCACCTACTGCGCTCCACCCTTTTTCGCACAGTGAACGGCAGCGGTAGGGATGCGAAACCATCTGCCGCGCTGCCCGCCCTCAGCCCCGCGCCAACATGGGCTATGGGGTCGGCGGTGCCGCCCCTCCTGGGCAGCCCATTTGGACGGCAGAGACTGGCGGCCGAAATAGCCCGCCTCCTGCGCTCCACCTCTTTCATTGCATAGCGAACGGTAGCGGTTGTGGCTCCAAGTGCCGCTCCGCTCGCGTTCGGCCCCATTCCCCTGTGGAACGAAGCTATATGCCTGGTCGAACAGGATCGCATCTGAGTACAGCGGCCATTGGCTGCGCCCCCCGTTTTCTCTCATTCGCAATCTCGGCGGTTTTCGGCTGCGCCCCCTACCATGTCTGCGGCTTTCGGCTGCGCCCCCTTTTATGTTCGCCATGATTGCACCACGCTGACGCGTGGCCGCCCCGCGCTCCTCCGAGGGCGCTCGCCGGGGCACGTCGCCCGGGCCTTGGGCTTTGTCGGCGCCCCCTCCTCCCCCCCCCCCCCCCTTTCCTCCTCCGCCCCCCCCCCCCCCCCCTCCATTCACAAGGTCTCTGCGATTTTCGGCTGCGCCCCCCCCCGCGCGTAGATTGCTGCGGCCGCAGAGGCGCGCCCGCCTTGAGATGGCCAGTGCACGGTCGCCCAGGGCCCTTCTGTGTCCTGCAGCATCTGGCTGCGCCCCCTTATCCATGCACCGTCTCTGCGGCTCTCGGCTGCGCCCCCCCCCCCCCCCACCACCACATAGATAGCATCGCCCGCGGAAGTTGCGACCCGCCCAGGGAGCAGCATTGGCGACCCAGCCAGGCAGGTCAGCACGTCGACAGCAAGGGTTCTCCCCTGCGGCCCGGCTGCGACCGGCGGGCCGCCTGCCCCAGCTCCGGGCGCGCCCTCCCTCCGCAGGGGCAGCCTGGCATGTGGTGGATGGGGGTGCCACCACGCACCATGGTGAGTGCCCTCGCCGCATGTTCGACCCGCATCGCGTGGTTCAGCCTGCGGTCTTGGTTGCTCTTACCGGCGCAGCCACATGCCCAGCCCCCGACAGGACATCACATCGTTGAGCCCCCAGACCGCGTGAGTCGGATACGATAGGGGATGCACTGGCATCGACTGGTTGCCAGCCTGCGAGCGCGCGCCAGCGGTGCTGCAGTGGGGCGAGGCGCCCCCCCCCCAACCCCACTGTGACACTGGCGCTCAGCAGCAGGCAGCGCCCCCCCCCTCCTGTGCATGCCGCGGTTCCATGCGGACCCGGTCATGGCGCCACCACAAGGGCGCCTCGGCAGCGGCCAGGTCGCCGCCTACAGTCGCCACGGCCTGCAGTTGGTCGCCGCCGGGGCTCAGCTGCGCGGGCTACGTGACAGGCGAGCGCGGGCGCGCTCGATAGCCATACCTCCGGTGATACCTAATGTCTGGCTTCGCCAGGGCGTGGCCCTGCACGAGTGGTTCAGCCTTCTGCAGTCCGTGGCCTACCCCCTGCAGATCAGTCTGCATCTGCCTCCGTCAGTACTTGCATCGTTGTGCCCCCGAACCACGAGAGTCGGATGCGTTGTGCATGCGCTGGCCACAGGCTTGGCTCTACCTCGCTGGCGCAGACCGGGGTCGCATCCTTCTCATGCGAAGGACAGGCTTCAGCCACACCTGCGTCAGTGAGCCACGGTGAGTGAGGCCATTCCCTGCTCGCTGCCCTCTGTTCTTGGCGCTGCCGCGTGCCCCGGCTGGCGAACTTTCTCTCGCTCTGGCCTCGCTTCCTTTTTGGCATGCGGCCGGTGACAGGCGCCGCCAGGGCGACTTCCCTGCCGTTCCAGTTCCGCCCCTGTGCTGGTCGCCGCGCTCGCCCCCACCCGTCGGGATGCTCGGCTGATCTTCTGGTCGCGTTGAGCTGCTGGTGACTGTCGCCAAAGGGCGTTCTCGTCGCCTACTCGCCGCCGGTCGCCGCGCCGCGGCGCCCCCACCGCCAGGACTGCTACGCTGGCTTCGGCGTTCAATTCGGTCCATTTTGACCCTCGCACGTGCATATGCCACTGCGGCCAATTAGCTTCGTTCGCGCCCCGTTCGTCGTTGACTCGCTTCTTGACCTGCGCCAGGGAGCCGCCGACCAAAATTAGCTTGGCGAAAGACCCAACCATATGCAGTTGTGGGTATCGCATTCGGGGAAGCCCCTTATGGGGCCACGAAACGCTGTACTGGGTGGGGGGGGGGGGGGGGGGCGCATGCGAACTGCGCCACTGGGACCTTCGGTGGAGCTCTCTATGGGGCCACGAAACGCTGTACTGGGTGTGGGGAGGACGCATGCGAACTGCGCCACTGGGACCTTCGGTGGAGCTCCCTATGGGGCCACGAAAAACCGCATGCGGGCGCGCGGTGGAGCTATGGGGCCACGAAACGCTGCCCTGGGTGGGGGAACCGCATGCGGGCTGTGCCACTGGGACCTTCGGTGGAGCTCCCTATGGGGCCACGAAACGCTGCCCTGGGTGGGGGAACCGCATGCGGCTGTGCCACTGGGCCTTCGGTGGAGCTCCCTATGGGGCCACGAAACGCTGCCCTGGGTGGGGGAACCGCATGCGGGCTGTGCCACTGGGACCTTCGGTGGAGCTCCCTATGGGGCCACGAAACGCTGCCCTGGGTGGGGGAACCGCACGGGCGCATGCGGAGCTGTGCCACTGTGGACCTATTCTGGGTTGTGACTGGGCTCCCTATGGGGCTACGAAACGCTGCCCTGGGTGGGGGAACCGCATGCGGGCTGTGCCACTGGGACCTTCGGTGGAGCTCCCTATGGGGCTACGAAACGCTGCCCTGGGTGGGGGAACCGCATGCGGGCTGTGCCACTGGGACCTTCGGTGGAGCTCCCTATGGGGCTACGAAACGCTGCCCTGGGTGGGGGAACCGCATGCGGGCTGTGCCACTGGGACCTTCGGTGGAGTTCCCTATGGGGCTACGAAGCGCTGCCCTGGGTGGAGGAACCGCACGCGGGCTGTGCCATTGGGACCTTCGGTGGAGCTCCCTATGGGGTTACGAAACGTGTGATGGGTGTGCCGAGAGCAGAGGCAAGGAGGGGGAGGAGGGAGGAGGGCGAGGAGGGGGAGGAGGAGGAGAGGAGGTGGGGCGCGGGGCGCTGTCTCTTCAAAACGAGGACCCAACACCACAGGATGGTTGGGAAAAAACCCACCAGCCCATCCACAATTGATTGCCAGTTTTCTTGAAGCCTCTTGGAGGCTATCTTGAGCCATGCTCGGCTAGAGGCTGTCGGAGGCTATCTTGAGCCATGCTCGGCTATCTTGGGCCATCTTGAGGCTGCCTTGAGGCCTCTTGGAAGGCTGTCGGAGGCTATCTTGAGCCATGCGTGGCTATCTTAAGCCATTTTGTTTGAAGGCGATCTTGGGCTATCTGGGGCTCCCTTGGAGCCATCTTGGACCAAAAAGGGCGGGGTGGAGGGTCTTTGGGAGAGGCTGGGAGGCCTCTTGGGGCCATCTTGGGCCCCATGGCTCAAAAAAAGGAGGTCCCTCAATTAGGACCCCCCCTCGGAGGCTCCAAAATGGCGTCTTGGGGCTCTCTTGGGCCGCTTTTGGGCGCCTCTTGGGCGATCTTGGGGCCGTCTTGGGCCCCTTTTTGGGGTTCTCTTGGGCCATCTCGGGGCCATCTTGAGGTCCCACAGGCCCATCGGAAGCGAAAAGGCGATAATGCCAAAAACATTGATTTCCCCGGGGCTTTTGAACGGTTTTGGCATCTTGGAGGGCGCCGTGGAGGTCTCGAAGGGCACTTGGATCCGTCTTGGGGCTGTCTTGGGGCCTCCTGGAGGTATGTCGGAGGTCTTTTGGGGGAGTCTTGGAGCCCTCTTGGGACTCTTTCGGGGGTCTGGGAGGCCTCTTGGGGCCGTCTTGGGCACCATGGTTCAACAAGAGGGGGGGGGGGGGGGGGGGGGGGAGCAATTCGGGCCCCCCCTCGGAGGCTCTCAAACGGCATCTTGGGGCCCTCTTGGAGCGTTCTTGGGAGCCTCTTGGGCGATCTTGGGGCCGTCTTGGGCCTTTTGGGCCCATCTTGGGCCTCTTTTGGGCCATCTTGGCGCCATCTTGAGGCTTCCAAAGCCCACCGGAAGCGAAGAGGCGAGAATGCCAAAAACATTGATTTCCCAAGGGCTTTTCAACGGTTTTGGCATCTTGGAGGGCGCCGTGGAGGGCTCGAAGGGCACTTGGATCCGTCTTGGGGCTGTCTTGGGGCCTCTTGGGTTTATGTCGGAGGCTATCTTAACCAATTTTGAAGTAGCATGGGCCATCTTGGAGGCCATCTTGCGACTTCGAAGCCCTCTTGGAGCAATATTGGGCCATCTTGGACGCTCTAACGCCTCAGTACCCCCCTTCCTGGCCCAGCGGAGGGGGTAGGGGGAGGGGTTTCAGTGGAAGAGAGAAGAAAAAACGCGCTATACCACCTGAGCCCAGAGGGCTGGTGGGATTCTGTCGTAGCTAGTGTTTCTGCGGGTGACGGAAGTTCTGGTCATAGTGGAAATGGGGCGGGGAGGGCGTCTTGTGGTACCCCGTACACGTGGCGAAACCAGGTCCCGTTGAACCCAGTCTGGACAACGTTCGACCAAAGTTTGGCCACTTCTTTAAATGCTGCTCCTCACCAGCCCATACCTGAGATATCCTTGTTTTGTCATCTACCTCCTCTACCTCCTCTCCATCTTCTGTCGCGCTTTTCGTATTTTCCGGAGAGTTGCCAATCGCGCGCTCTTCTGCCCACGCGTCCCTCCGGATGCTCGGTTTAGTGGTTGGTTGGCTCCCAGGCCCATCCAGGACGACATCGCCAGGGACTTCGGGCTCGAGAGCGTCGAGCAGGCACTGCAGGCCGCCGAGGAGGAGCAGGGGGCCGACCGCTGGGTGGTGTGGAGGCGGCGCCGCCGGCAGCTGCTGCTGAGCCCGAGGGAGCAGTGCGAAGGTCGGCAGGAGCCAAACCCAGACTTCAGTCGGGCCTGTCCCTCTACAGGGGGAATGTTCAAACATAGTCAAAAGATAGTCTGTGGACGATGTTTTGACTATTTTTGACCATATGGGTTGTTTGTTGACTATTTTTATTTGTCCCCCAAAATCCGCCTGTAGGGGGACACGCCCGACTTGAACCCAGACCCCCTCGCGTCGTGAGAACAAATGCTGCCAGAGTGTCCGGGGCATCTTTTTCCCCAAGCAGTGGCGAAGCGTCCTGGCGTGCCTATAGGCCTACCAAACAATGTTCTAAGAACCTTTTTGTGGTTTTCACGACATGTTCTTCGAATATCTCTGGCTGGGACTGTCTTGTTTCAGCACATCGGGTTTATGTTCTAAGAACATGTTTTTTGTTCTCAGGACATGTTGGGGTTCTGAGAACATTTCGTGGCAGGACTACAGGAATACCGGTACGGTCGGTCCCTGCCCAGTTGTCTGTCTCTGGGGGCCGTCGCCAGAGCTGCTTGGGGAAAGGACAGGGCCTTCTCAGGGGCCCGCGTTCAAGAACTTGAGACATGGGATGTTATGGGAAAGGGCTCTTCTTTTCTTCAGACCCCCGACGTGATTCATAGGCTTACGTACGCCGAGTGGAGACCTGGCGGCTCATGTTTGGAGGAGGGGGAGGAGGAGGAAAAGAGGTATGATAATTGGGAGGAGGAAAACGAGAACAAGGAGGAGGAGGAGGAGGAGGAGGCCCCGAGGGACGAGGAGCGCAACCAGCTTCGCCTTCATGTCCGCCCAGCCTAACAAGGTCCTGAGCTGGGGAAACGTAAGACTCTAGTTCGCCGGAACACAGAATGCCGAAACTTTGTGAATAGCCCGTCCCCGATTTTGATGGTCCGCTTTCGTGGGGTGTTTGCCGCGATATTTCGCGTCAACTTTCAGATTGGGTCTCGTCATTTTCTTGAAGGCCTGGCCTGGCCAACCCGAGTCTCCTGGACCCGAGTCTTACGTGTTTCCGACAGGGACAGGACCCAATTTCGGCGACGTGGAGGGGGGGAAGTGAGAAGGAGGAAGCCTTCTCAGAAGGCGGCGGGGCTTCTCAGAAGCCCTCTGGCCTTCTCAAAACTTTTCTGTGTCTCCAGGGAAGACTTAGAAAATTTGTCAGGAAACCGGAGGGCTCCGAGAAGGCCCGCCCCCTCTCACTTCCCCCTTGGGCTGGCCGCCAAACGACGACCACGAGACGACGACGACCACGACGACAGACGAAAAGGACTACAGCCACGACAACGAAGACCGCGAGACGACGACCACCACGACGACCACGACGACGTCGACCACGACGACCACGACGACCATGACGACTATGACGACCACGACCACGACCACGACGACGACGACGACGACGACGACGACGACGACGACGACGGCGGCGGCGACGGCGGCGGCGGCATCGATTCGCCGTCGTTCGAGGGGCACCTCGTCCTACACGCCCGACGATCTGATGTTGTCGGTCCGCGGCCCAGAGCTTTCGACCCCTTCCCCAGGGGTACTTTATTAGTGAATTTAATTGGTTTTAGGGTTTTAACAAATGGTCGCAGCCACGCAGAGGGCGTGCGTAGCGACGCCCCAAATGCTCGGTCTCCAGCACTTCTACGTGGCGGCTCCCCCGCAGGCACGCAGAGGGCACGCGTGGCGACGGGGGCGTCGCCACGCAGAGCCTCTAAAGACCAAACATTTTGAAAACCAATTGTTTCCACTACTAAAGTAGCTTTCCATCCCAGATCTAGTTGAGAAGAGGGAGAAAACCAGATAGATTGCGCCGACATTCGCGCGAACTCGCCGGTCGTTGAAAGCAGATGCACAGATGCCAATATGTTTTCGGCGGCTTCCTACTTCAAGAATCGGTATGCGTTGCCGTGTTTTGCTATTCTCTGGGAGGACCTGCGCCCAATCTACTCTATCCGCCTTCCTACTTCATGTTGTTCTGTATTTCTTCCGTCCGACGTGTAAGCTGCCTGCGTAAGATGGCGCGTACGCGCCTTCGTTTCCAACGTGGATTGCAGCGCTGGCGGCCCGCGTAAGCCGCGGCGTAAGGTATCCCAGTAGGGTGGCTGGGGGTGTTGCGGGCGGTTTTGTCGAAGGGGTAGGGGGGTTCCCGCCAGACCCCCCCAATCAAAATCAAGGGAAGTTCTTGTCGGGGGTTGGGGGCGCTTGCCCCCAGGATCCCCCCGCCACCCCCTCAAAGGGTTTTTGTTGGTGGGGGGTTGGGAGGGCTGCACCCCCCAAAAAACTCTCACTTTTCCTTGGTGTCACCGAGCGCGTTCCACTACCGGCAAAGTGCCTACTCGCAAACGTCCGAAAAACACATGTCTGCTTCGATGTAATCTATCGTAGATCCCCCGCGGGGGATCCAGGCCATTTGCGAGTAGTCATTGTGCGAGCAGTGGAACGCGCTCGTCTATGGTGGGTAAGGCTCTCCCCCTGAAGCCTCCCAAGACTCCCTCTCAAGAAGGTTGTTTGTTTGTTTGTTTGGTTGTGTGTGTGTGTTTTTCCTTGGGGGGGACGGGCTGCCCCCCCCAGAGACCTTCAAGAATCCCTTTTCAAGAAGGTTGTTGTAAGGGGGGTTAGGGTTAAGTCGGGCCTGTCTCTCTACAGGAGGGAGATTCAAAAATATTCAAAAAACAGCATTGGGACGAATTGTTGACAATTTCTGACTATGTCAGGGTATTGTTTACTATGTTTCATTGTTCGTTTATCACCGGTCTGTAGGAGACAGGCCCGACTTAAGGTTCGGGGGGAACCCCATGTCAAAAAATCCGTCAAGGAAATTCGGGGGAGCATATGCTCATGTTTCCCCGGGGCTTCCCCGCCAGAAAACCGTCAATATTGGCTGTGCTGGAGTGAAGCGGATGCCCCCCCCCGCCCCCCTTGGAATCGGGGGTCAAGGGGGTCCCCCCGGGACCCCTTTTACAGAAATCCATCCTCAAGGATAATGTGTTTGGGGGTTAGCGCGGTGTCCTCCCGGGACCCCCTCCAAAAAATATCTTTCCAGGGATGTGTTGTTTGGGGGGGAGGGGAGGGGCTTCACCTCGGGAACCCCCCCAAACCCCTTCAAGGGATTGTTTTGGGAGACGGGTGGGGTTTCCCCCCGAAGCCTTCCCCAAAACCTATTTAAAGAATGTGTTCAAAGAAGTCGGGGATCTTACCCCCGGACCCCCCCCCGAAAAACCTTCCTGAAGTGGGGGTTCTTGGGGGAGGTTCGGAGTTCTCTCTCCGGGAACGCAAAAACATTGCTGGGGGGTGGCCCAGAACCCTTCAAAAACCGTACTCAAGGAGGGTTTTTGGATAGTCAGATGCGGCTTCGGCCTGGCCCCCTCCAGAAAACCACACTCGATAATGGTTTTGAGGTGCTTCGTCACGGGAACCACCCAAAATCTTCGTCAACGGAAGTGTTTGAGAAAGGGTTTTTGAAGGTCCAGGGGGTTTTCCCATCGGACTCCCTTAAAATATCGATTTCAAGGAAAATGTTTGAAAGGGGGTGGGTTTTTTCCCCTCCAGAACCTCCCCAAAAGTCCTCAAGGAAGATCTTTTGGAAGGGGCAGGGCGGGGTCCCCCCAGGACCGCCCCATCTCAAAGGAGTAGTTTGGGGGGCGTTAGGGTGGTTTCTTTTCCGAAGCCCTTCCAAACATGCTTCTTAGGGGGTTAGCAGGCTTCCCCCGGGAATACCCCAACAAAAACCTTCAACTGGGTTTGTTTGTTTCATGTGTTAGGGGGATTTCCCCCCGAGCCCCCCCAAACCCCCGTCACAACGGCTATTTGATGGGATATGGAATCTCCTCCGGGGACAGGTGTTAAAGAGAGTTCCTCCCGGACCCCCCTCAAGAACCCTTCTCAAGGGCGATGTTTGGGAGGTCAGGGCGGTTTCCCCCCCAACCCTCTTCAAGGGGGGTGGGTTACCGGGGTTTCCCCCCAGGACCCCTCCACCCCACGCCCCCCCAAGGCTCCCAGAATTCATCCTAAAGCCCCGTCGATGGGGGGTGTTTGAGGGGGGGTCGCCGGGTTTCCCCCTTAGACCCCGCCCAACTCCGGACCCTCCCAAAACCCACTTCAAATGATGTTTCTGAAACGGGTTAGGGGAGTCTTCCCCTTGGGACCCCCCCGGAAAACAAAATCTCAAGGGAGGTTTTTGGGGTGTTTCGGAGGGGGTCCCCTCGGGACCCCCACAAAACCGTCTCAAACGGTGTGTTGGAGGGTTAGGAGGGTGTTCCCCACAACCCCCTGCCCCCCCAAAAAAACAGTCAAAGTAGGGCTTGTGTTTTCAGAAGCGAAAGGTGGATGCACGCGTACATGAATCCACAGTGGATTCGAGAGTACACATTACGCGAACGTTCGTATTTTGCGGCCGGTCGCCCCTTGTGGGCTCCCTGCCTCCCGCCCCCGCGGCGCGGCAGGCAACGCCTTCTCGCACCTCGACGCCCCCCCTCCGCCGCCCGGCCCCGGCCTCGCCGCGGCGGCCGGCGGCGCCGCGGCGCCCGAGGCCGAGCGCGCCCGCGCCGAGGGGCCGCCGGAGGGCCTGCTGGGCTACACGCCGCGGCCAGCGGAGCCCTCGGGGGGGGAAAGAGCAGCCGCGGGCCCGCCACGAGGGGCCGGCCACGGCGCCGTGCCCGGAGGTCCCGGCGTCGCAGTTTTCTCGAGCCGGGCGTTGTCGTCAGGTTGCGGGCACCGGGGCCCACGCAGATCGATCGGGCTCGAGAGATGACGCAGAAAGATGGGGTCCGGGGATCCGGCCGTGATTCTCAGCGATGTCGCATTTGTTTCGCAAAGTCGGATCTCAGGGTTTAGTTTTCGCAAATGCGCAGGCCTAGGCCTCCCAGGTGGGGTCGGAGCAGCTGGGGTCGGAGGATCGCGCCGCATCGGCGATGCATTGGCGATGCGGCTCGATTTGGAGCCCGATTTTCTCCACGCCGATGTCTTCGATGCCTCGCCGATGCAACACCGATGCATCGGTGATGCATCGGTGATGCATCGGCGATGCGGCGCGATCTTCCGACCCCGTCTACTCGGGCTCTATCTAGGAGAACTCTGGCAGAGGGGGTAATTAGGGGGAGGGGGGAAGGCTTCTTAGAAATACCCCTGCTGCTTAGAAGGTCGGCGCCTTCTAAGAAGCAGCTTCCTTCCAATAAGCCTTCTCCCTCTCCTTACCCCCTTGTGCGCACCGCCACAGCTTGGTTTGGTTCGTTGTTAGTTTTTTCGTGTGGTGTGTCGTGTTTGTTTCGTTTTGTTGTGTGTGTGTGTGTTTGTGTTTGTGTGTGTGTTTAACGCCTCGTTTCGTTGTTCGTCTCGCTTGGCACCGATTTCGTTCTAAACGGTGGTTTTAAGTGTTAGGCCTCGTTTCGTTTTCTGCTTTGCACGTCATTTCGTTCTAGACATCGTTGTGGTCGGTCCTTGGAATCAATCAGCGTACACTGCACCCCGCGATTGCGGATAAGATTGCGGGGGCCGTGGCGGGGGCGAAGTTGATGTCCCGATACAAAACCGCCAAATGTTGCTCCCATGTGCTGCCCCATTTGTACTGCCCCCATGTGTCGCCCCGAAATGTTGCTCCCACGTGTTGCCCCCGAGTATCGCCCCAATGTATTGCCCCCGAGTATCGCCTCCCTGGACCCTCGCAGATCGATCGGCCTCGAAACATGTAGCAGAAAGATGGGATCGGGATGTTTCGCGATGTTGCATTGTTCCGCAACGTCGGGTCTCAGTGCTCGCTTCTGCCTTTGTAGGCATTATGCTAGGCCTTCGTCTTAGCCAGAACGCACTCCGAGAGAGATCCAAGGAGTAGCCGTCAGTACGATGGCACTTTTTTCCAGACCCAGGCAATTGACTTGCATGGCATTCCCCACCTCACCCTCCCCGCCGCCTTCTCGAACAGCGCCTGGCCGAAAAGGCGATCAGGTGTGTCCCGACATGCGTGAAGTCCAGACCTCCTTTCGGGCCTCTCTTTTGCGCTGGGTTGAGGAGAGGGTAGGTGAAGGTTTCCCTTCAGTGAGCTCATTTCCACTATCCTGTTGCAAGCATGCCGTCGGCTGATGAGCGCTCTGGCGGGAGCGCGAAACGCCTCTTCCAGGCCCCTGGAGACCAGGACAGGCTTCCCATGGCGTTGGCAAGTCGAGGAAAGGGCACCCTTTCCTGTAAAGCCAGATCTGGTCGACGAGTCAGGTTTGGTGGCTGCACCGCAAGATTTGGGGTCGGCGCCCGGGTCTAGGGGGGGGGGGGCAGGCTTTTGATCAGGGTCTTCGTCCAGCTTTAACTGGGGCCTCTGCAGTGCAGTTGGTGTTTCGTGGCGCCGTCCGACGGCCAGTACCTTTCCGCTCCCCCCTCCAGGAGCGGCTGTGGCGGGTGGCGGGAGGCGCCGGCCGCGAGGGCCTGCCCGTGCGGGAGGGCGACGCCTCGGCACGCTTCGAAGCGGGTACGCCCCAAGATCCGGACGCTGCTATGTTTTTCACGCGGGGGCGTTTTCGGTAGCGACTCATGTCAGGCGATCGCAAACATGGATTAAGGGGGCGTGGATTAGCGACGGGTCCCGCTTCCATGGGAAATTGCTGGTTTCCGCCGCCGAACGGGGCGGCACCGGCCGCACTTTGGGCAGGGCACCTCCCCCGATTCATGCATTTGGCGACCGCGCGCCTAATCCATGGATCGCTAATCCATGTTTGCGCGCCCCCGATCATGGGAGCTGCACGTGTCCTGGGACTTCCGTTTTGAGGGTGCGTTACATAGCGCGCGCTAGCGTTTGGTGATCCATGAGAGCGCACCGACTTCGCGTCAATCGGCTTCGACCTAGCGTCGATGAGCGTCGATTAGTGCCGACTAGCGTCGGTCAGCGTCGATCCGCAAGAGCCAGCAACATGGCATGGGAGGCTCCCATGATTTGTCACAGAAGTTGTCGCTTGGTTTTGGGCCCCAGGGCCTTCACTGATCGATCTGGCTCGAAAGATGCCGCAGAAAATTTGGTCCAGACCTCTGGTCGTGATTGTTGTTTTTTCGCAGCGTCGGATCTTATGGCATAGGGGACAAAGACATCAGTTCCTGCCAATTTTGAACAAGACTCGCTATCGGTGCCGCTGCGGTAGTTGTCTGTTTGAACCGAAAACCGCCTGCCCAGCTCGAATCAGAAAAATTGCAGAACCCACACACACACACACGCACACACACACACACACACACACACACACACGCACACACACACACACACATGTTCGGCGGTCTTCGCGGATTCCTTCGTTTTGCGCTGGGCTCCCCGGCGGCGCCTCTGGCGCCGCCCCCCCATGCGCTCCGCCCGCCTGAGAGAGGGGTCCAGCGCCGATCCAAAAAATCCGCGCGGGGGGGCGACTTAGTCGTCATGAAGCACACAGGTCCTGAGGGAAACGGGTCCTGATATTTCCCAACCATCCTGTGGTGTTGGGTCCTCGTTCTGAAGAAAGGGTCCCCGCGTTCCTCCCCTCTTCTCTTCCTCTTCCCCCTCCTCCTCCCTCCTCCCTCCTCCCTGCGTTTCACCCACCCAGTACAGCGCTTCGTGGCCCCATAGGGGGCTCCACCGAAGGTCCCAGTGGCACCGCCCGCATGCGTCCGCCACCACCCAGCACAGCCATTGCTCCCTGCGCTTCACCCACCCAGTACAGCGCTTCATGGCCCCATCGGGTCCACCGAAGGTCCCAGTGGCACCGCCCGCATGCGTCCGCCACCACCCAGCACAGCCCTTGCTCCCTGCGTTTGACCCACCCAGTAGAGCGCTTCGTGGCCCAATAGGGGGCTCCACCGAAGGTCCCAGTGGCACCGCCCGCGTGCGTCCGCCACCACCCAGTACAGCGCTGCGTGGCCCCACAGGGAGCTCCACCGAAAGTCCCAGTGGCACCGCCCGCATGCGTCCGCCACCACCCAGCACAGCCCTTGTTCCCTGCGTTTCGCCCACCCAGTACAGCGCTGCGTGGCCCCACAGGGAGCGCCACCGAAGAAGATATTCACAACTGCGGTACTCGCAACTGCACATAGTTGGGTCCTTCGCCAGGCTGAGTTTCTGTGTTTTCTCCACCCTGGGCCCTTCCTGGGCCCTGGGACTGTCAGAAGACGACTCAGGACGAAAAGCTGATCCCCGGGAAGGCCTTGGGGTCCAGGAGGTAATGTTATTAGGTTTTCATACGATTTCGTCCGGTCTCGGTGGCTTTCCAGCCTCGGGGTGCTTTCCAGCGGCTGCGCCTCGCCAGGGGCGCTTTGTGGGGATGCTCGGAGACTCGATAACGTTCACTCCTGCCTGCATTATGTTATCACCCGCCCGCCGGTCGCTGCGGGCGTTTGGCTCAAGCCTTGTACACTTCAAAAAAGAGTCGGCGAACCTGATTTTGGAACGCGTGTTGCGCCCGTTTTTGGTAGGAAAAGAGTGCGCCCACATTCCGCGCGCGCATCGCCGCTATGTCGCCGATCATCACGAAGGGACACGCCATGCGCGAATCCCGTTTCCGAAGAGACCCCCTGAGCTACAAGAGTATGGAGACGATACACCACATTGGCCGGGCAGATGCTGTAGAACATTTGATTAAAAGCAGACTAGCAGCCGAAAGCTCCGAGAGAACCGCAAGGAAGCGTGATGATGTTTCCTACGTTGAGCCATATGAAAGCTTCCATCGCAGCTGCAATGCAGCTGGCAGCGGGGCGCACGACCGGACAAAAGGAAGGATGAACCCTCGCAAAAAAAAGAATCATCCGAGAATCGGGTGCCGGCAAGTTCTGTCAGAGTTCTGCTTCCGAGAAAAACACAGTGATTCCGATTTGATGCCGAACAGTGAGGGAAGGTCCCCGCGATGGCGCGATCACATGTCATGGGGGTCGTCAATATCCCAGTCGATGCCAGGAGAGCCGAACAAGAATTTGACTAAGACCAAAATACGCTCCTGAACGAAAGGGCGTCCATGCGATCGTGCGTCCAGATGATGCGTGGACAAGCCCAGCGGTATGTGTCATCGCGCACGGGACCGACCTCCCCGAGAAAGGCCCCGCCGAGGTTGGCTATCCGATGCCGCGCGCCGAAGAAAACTAAGACGAGGAGGGGGCAGGAGGCCAAGTCCAACTCGGCATCGGCGACGACTATGAATCCACACCTTACTTGGCGGGAAATGATGATCCAGACATGATGGGCTGGCCTCAAGCCAACGCCGTGGTAATTCAATGTATTCGAAAATAGGGAGGCATCCTGAACAGCCGTCCTCTTTTCCCTTGTCGTTTCCCCAGTTCGCCTTTGTTTGCCTTTTTCCGTGATCAGACTTGAATGTCATAGGCTCATCTTGTTTGTTGGCGTTGTTGTGCCCCGTTGGTCCAACTCATCCCTTCATAGTTGTATGCGAGGAATTCCCGATAGCATTGTTACATGTTTCTGCGACCGTCGGGTGTCACTGGAGCTCGAACCCAGACCTGATTTATGGCAGGATCCACTTTGATTTCCCCCGCCCCCTCCTTGAGCCAGTCCTCCATTTCGGCTCTCCGCAGGCGAGAAGCCTACCTCGGGCACAAAGGATGGGCGACCCAAACACCACGCGCCTGGCCAGGCATCCAATGTTTTGCTTGGTTTCTCTTTATGCCTCGAGGAGGACTCTCGTCACCAAAGCAAGATTCCCATCAGGATCCTGGCCAAATCGCATCCTAGGGCAGGTTTGGGGCGCAACGTTTATCCTCCTCCCTCTCCGCGAACGTCCGAGAGTTGATGCTTATGTGGTTGTCTGACCCTTTGCAAGGAGCAGCGGCTCTCCATTGGAGCCGAGGTTGGAGGAGCACGAAGCAACTTGAGCATAGACAGACGTTCGGAGGCCCGCGTGAATTTCTAGGCTCGGTGCTAAACGCGCTGGCGGAGGCGCTGCAGGCGCCGCCAGGGGGAGTGGGGGTCCGAGCGCCGGCCAAAGAGATCTGCGCGGACCTTCGACAGTTTCTATGCCCAGGCAGGGTTAGAATTATGATGTTCCAACCTACTTTAGCCTGAATCGCCAGAAAGAATTTCGAGCACCAAGAAAATATCGAAACGTGAGGGTTTTCACGTGTCGGGCACTCGGAGGCGACACTCGTTCGACACTGTTTCGATACTCCTTTTGCGTGCCCGAAAGTATTGTTTGGGGATTTGGTCCATAAGTAGGATGGGGGCAACATCAGATCAGAATCTGAGAGTGAAGAGACAAGTCGTTCCAGAGCGTGCTGAAACGCTCTCAGAGCGTTTTCAATTTGTGTGTCCCTGGGCCCTTCAGTTCTCTTGTTCCTTCGGTCGGAGTAAGAAGACGCATCAACTTAACTTTCGGGGCGTCGCGCGGATTTCTTGGATCGTCGCGGCCCCCCCCGGGCGCGCCGATCCAGGAAGTCCGAGCGGAGCGCTGAGAGATGGAGTTTGTGCACTTGTGCTGTTCCGATCGCAGGGACAAAGCGGAGGCAAGATGAAGACAAGTTCGGATCGAGCCAAATGTTCCGTCTGTCGTCGGTCTTCCCGGAGAGGTGGAGGAGATCGCGCGGAAGGGCGACAGCCTCATGTACCGGCTCCGAAGCGGTTGGGGGCCAGACAGGGGTTGGGTGAGCGTGACGTCGAGGGGCGCCGCGCTGCTGGAGCCCGTGCGGCAGGATTTGGAGCTCTTCTGACCCGCGCCCGCTGCAAGCAGGGCCGAGAAGAGGAGGAGCCGCGAGGAGGAGGCGGAGGGGGAGGACAGCGAGAGCGAGGAGCAGGGAGAGGGGCGAGAGGGGGGAGGAGGCGGGAGGGAGGGAGGGTCGGATCTGATTTCGCGGTCCACGGACGTGCCCCGCACGCGCGCAGCTAGCCCCGGGGGGGGGGCCTTGATGAGAGCCACAGCCCAGGGCGCCCGCTAAGCGGGTTACATTTCCCCTCTGGGACCTGGACCTAGGGAGAAAGTAAAAAAAGAAGAGAAATGAGAAATGTAGAGCTCCCGATCTGACTGAACGCGCCACCCACCCGCCTCCTTTCCCCCCCAGCCTCAATGATGCCGCAGTACACGTCTTGCACACATAGCCGACGTCGGGTATGCGGCGGCTGGCGCGGGGGAATGGGACGGGCGAGGCAAGAGAGGAGCTGGAGAGTAACAGACTCAGCGCTCCGAAGGCTCGACGCCGTCGAAGACGGCATTACATATGAAGGTACTTCCCCCACCACTGAGGCTAGAAGCCTCATCCCTCCCGCAATTACGAGTTGCGAAAAGCAGCCGAGAACCATCAATGCAAGCCTACCAAGTCTGCCTGCACTCGGGAATTCGCACTAGGAGGAGGGGGTGGAAGTGCCGTGTACGTAAACAGCACGTCTAGGCAGACGGGTATCTTCTTGGCCTCGCGCTCTCTGGCTATCCGACGGGAGAGCGCCGTAGCACGATTAGCCAATATCTTTGCATAAAATAATTCGGGCAGCGGAGGGGGAGGTGGCGGGAGAGGTAATCAGGTGTTGACGAGCCAAAGAACATGCGAGCAAGTTGATATTCAAACACAGCAACAAAGATAATGCCTTTTAACTCACCAACTCTGAGGGCCTAACCGAGGTTTGGGGGTAGACCACTCCAGGCATCCTGGCCAGGGCAGACGGCTTAGAGCGTGTGCGAAGTACAAAGTCAGAACACAGATTTGGGGCTTCTGAACACATGTACGCTGGAGGGATGGAGGAGGAGAGAGACAGATCGGAGACGAGATTAACCTGGCAAGTGCTGACGGCCTGGAACGAGCACATGAGCCTGGGGCAAACTCAGATACTATGCTGGGGCCTCTGATCAGAAGATACAAGCCCGCGCCAAACAATGTGAAAGAGTGATTGAAGAAGTCACATGTGTTGAGAGCTTGGCACGGCTCAAAAAACCATGCCATCTGATCTCAGCGCACAAGTAAAATCCAGCGCGGCAGAGAGGACACATCGATCCCCCTCCAATACTCCCATGAGCGCCCGTGTCCAGCGTCGAGCTGTGGAAGAGTGACGGTACGCAACGCAGCAGAACCAATTCAAGCAGGCATGCAACGTTGCGGTTCGAGAGCAACAAGAAAATGACATTTGGGAGAACAGGCACAAGGGGGAGTCCCAGGGGAGAGAGAGTGCGGAGGTGTTGCCCGGAGTTGTATGCGCAGGCTAGAGCCTCTAATCTGAAAGCATGACATCGTGTAAGCCGTTGAAGAGAAGTTAGCTTGGAGTGCGAAGGGGAAGTCCCACTGGGGAAGAGAGCAAGAGTCCCCCTCCAAGAAAGAATATTGGAAGCCTAGCTGGAAGATGTGGCAGCTGATCTCTGTCCAGAAGAGTTGTTGAAGACATGTGATAATTCGATGGTACGCCTGGCAAGCAGTTGGGTCCGAGAAGCCTGCTCATCCGGAGAGGAGATGGAAACCAAGCATGCTTTACAAAGACAGCCTTTGCCTAGTCTGCATCGCCTCGCGCTTGACCAAAGACCATCGTAAGCGCAACTGTCGCACAGAGCGCATTGCAAATCTGAGGGCGCACATTGCAGACAATGATAGCGACCGCTATGCCTTTTACTGACAGGCCATCAGGTCGTGCCACAGATGAGAGGTTCGGACATGGCTAGGACGAGAATGAAACCGTGCCAGAGCGTTCCAGACTGCTCTCCTAGCGTTCTGGAACGCTCTGAAAGGCACGGCGCCCGATACCACCCTCCAGAGCCGCCGGATCTCAGAGATTCTCGGTTTACCTTCATCCGAATTGATCCTCGTCCTGGCGTCGTCTTATAAGTCCACTGACCTGTTCTTCCTGCGCCGACCTCTGACGTGTCTGACCACAGAGGCGCAAAACTTGGAGGAAAAGTAGAAGGCGCGCATCGATCGGGAGCGCGGCACAGTCGCAAGCACACAAAATATTGCCCAGGCAGGGAAGCTTACCCAGTTATCCTTCTCCCCCCCCTCACTCCTTCCTCCATTCCTTTTCCTTATAGATAACTGCTCCCTGTCGCACCCCGAGACCAGTTTTTAGGGCGGGCCGGGGGTTTCGTATTAGATTCCCGCACCACTTATGACCCTGAAGCTTAAAAAGTGGCAACAGCTTCACGGATGGAGGGCGGGTCGTTTTCAAAATGTGGCTCTCGCCTCAGCACCGCGCACATTCGCTTTAAATATTTGCAAGAGCTTCACGTATTGAGGGCGGGTCGTTTGCAAAATGTGGTTCTCGTCTTAGCGCGGAGCACATCCGTTTGAAAAGTTGCAAGAGTTTCACGGTTTGAGGGCGAGTCGTTTTCAAAATGTGGTTCTCGCCTCAGCGCCGTGCACATTCGTTTCAAACAATTGCAAGAGTTTCACGGATTGAGGGCGAGTGGTTTTCAAATTGTCGTTCTCGCCTTAGCGCCGCGCGCATTCGTTTTGAACATTTGCAAAAGTTTCACGGATGGAGGGCGGGTCGTTTTCAAAATGCGGTTCTCGCCCCAGCTCTCGGGTCTCGAGAGATCGTGGCTTTGCTTCAGGGGAGTCTCCCTCCTCCTCCTCCTCCTCTTCCGTCCTCCTCCGCCTCCTCCTCCCTCCCCCTCCTCCCTCCTCTTCCTCCTCCTCCTCCTCCTCCTCCTCCTCCTCCTCCTCCTCCTCCTCCTCCTCCTCCTCCTCCCTCCTCCTCCCCCTCCTCCTCCTCCTCCTCCTCCTCCTCCTCCTCCTCCTCCTCCTCCTCCTCCTCCTCCTCCTCCTCCCCCAGGTGGCCCAGGCCAGGCGCACGCGCGAGCGCCACCCTTGAAGAGGCCACACCACAACTACCTTCCGCGGGGCGCAGACCCCCCCATGGAGCTTGCAAGCCTGGCGGCGGTAGCGCCACCATGGCGGCAGGCCTATTGAGATTGGTTTTGTACAACCTTCAGTGCGCGAACACGTTCAACCGTCTCTTAGACATAGCGCACGAGCTGGGCAGCAAGGGCGTGATCGGGCTCATCGGCACCCAGTTGAAGAGCCGAGGCGAGGCCGTTGAAGACACGAGGACGGTCGGGCAGTACTACACGCTCGAGGCGGGCTACTCGTACGGACAGCTCACAACCAAGAGCTGCGGCGTCACATTGCTACTCCGCAAGCCGAGGTTCCCGAGGAAGAGCATCAAGAGGGTGCTCGACGTGCCGAAGGGGCTCCGAGGACGAGTGCTCGGCGTGATGGTTGAGGCTCAGGGCCTCAAGTTTGGATTCATATTGGCTTATTTTCCTCCTCGGGGGACGTCATCCAGTGGGCGCCAGCTGTACGACAGAAGCATCGGGCAGATTCTGAAGTGGATCGCAGAAACCATGGCAGTGCTACGTGAGAGGGACGCCGTTCCCATTCGAATGACGGACTTGAACGGAGCGCTTCCACACAGCCCACTCGATCAGGTTGCAGGTGTTCACAGCACCGGCAAGATCACCCCTACATCGTCGAGATTCCGACCGTACGCTGAGGGATGGTCGCTCGCGAGTGCGACGACACACTACCCAGGACCGCCGACCTACGTGGGAGAGAAAGGCAGTTCTTTCATAGACCATGTATTTCTCCCACGAGGGCTGCCGCAGACCATCGAGCGAGTCCACATTCTATCATCATCGGCACGCAGATGGCAGCTCATCAGGTCTCGAGAACCTCGAGATCACCGAACAGTGCTCGTCTCTTTGATCGCCCAGGTAGCGGTGGAACCGCTCCCCAAGCGCCCGCCCAGGCCTAACAGAGAGGCGCTCTATCAATGTGTACAAGTAGGTTTTCGGATGAATGAGGTTTTTGAAAGCCATGGAGGAGGGGGTCAGCAAGATTGAGGAAAATTCAAAGCAGCTTCTCTGGTAGGTAACCTGGACGCCATGAATGCACTACTGATAGGCGCTCTTAACAAAGCAGCGGCCGACCAGCTAGCAGAGCCCCCCCTGTGCAGCGAGAGCCACAAGCAGCACGCCCAGGAGGTTAGCGCCTTACTGAAAGCCCGACGGGAACTTCGTGAATCAGCCGCACATGTAGAAGATATAGAAGCACTAACTATATGTATCCGGTATAAGAGCAAGCAGATAAGACAAGCTAGCACAAAGTATTGGCAGCAAATACAAGAGCGACGAGCACAAGAGCTGGAAGCAGCAGCACGCGAGCAGAACACTTATTTAGTTCAGAAGTAAGCGAGACTTTTAGCTTGCAGGCGTCGGGGCCCCCGCCAGCGCCGCTTCGCGGCGATGCCGAACAGCCCAGCGTCGGCGCGGGCATGGGCCCGCAGGATGCGTCTCCAGCCTCCTCTCTGGCGGGTGTCAGGCTATCGAGAAGCAATGCTACAAAAAAAAAAAAAAAAAAAAAAAAAAAAAAAAAAAAAAAAAAAAAAAAAAAAAAAAAAAAAAACGAGATTGATCTGGAGGGGAGGGAGATGATGGAGGAGTCGGAGGCGATGTTTCTTGCTGCGGAAGATTGGGGGTTGCTCAGTCGTGCTCTATGGGAGCTTCGAGTTTGGCGCACGTGGCCAAGTTGGAGCTTGCCGCCAGAACTATTACGTCTGCTTTTTCCACCCGAAGTGGGCCAACGAGAGAGAGCCCAAGATCGGCGAAGGCATCGGTTTCGCTCAGGAGTCGGTGAAGATCGATCGGCCCAGGGACGCGATGCAGGCTCTCTTGTTGGCATGTAGGAAGCATCAGAGATTTCCCGTCATGCGGCACATCGCACAGGCAGCACGTATGCCAAGGAATAACCATAATCTAGATTGTGCCGGTGAGAGATTAATCATGGTCATG